CCCATTGTTTAAATACCTTTTTTCATAGCCAACTGGTAAACCTATATGGAACAAGAGGCTGGTGCATTTGGTATCTGCTAGCGAGATCTTAAATGTTTCCAATTACTACCTGGCCAAAAGCCCAGAAACAGTCACCAGTGCCAAACACATTTGTAAAAACAACAGCAACTTATAAATATTGGTGTAATGTGGGCCCTTCTGCAATGACAAATGTAAAATAATTTTTAAAAAGCGTCACATTCATTTAGTTACAAGTTGTTCACCTTCAGTTTATTCTAATGCAGTGTTCAACCTGTGGACAACAAAACCATGAGTAATAAAAACGTAGTTTAAGCGCTCAAAATGTATTTAAGCTCCTCTTTAAGCTATATTCTAAGTCTGTAATGATATCTACTTTGACGGAAAAAAGGTAAAGATTCTGTTTGAAACATTAAGATAACTGCTTTGCTGTAAAGGTAAATATTTTCTCTGTCCACTTTTAAAAAAAACTAAGTGATTGAAAATTACACATTTATCTGTACTTTTATTAGCTTTCAAAGATTTTAATAATTTAAGATGCACTACTGCAAGAGACACAAATGAAGAGCACAGCTTATCCATTCAGTGTCGTATTTTCCAGAACCCTCCTGTGATGTTGACTGTACCCAATTTTACAAGCCCACTGCCTCACATACCAACATCCTAAATTCTCACGTACAGCACACAGCAAAGTCCCCATCTTGAACCCTCCGCCTCCACTCTGCAAGTGTAAAAGGCAAATAAAACCGACCAAAGTAGCTCTGTACGCACTGCACATCAGCACAAGCAGGTTCTATACTGCACTGCCCCTTCCACTCCACTCATTTTAAAAATCAGATAAAATTTTTACGTAACCAGAACAACATTTTAGTTCTCCAGATGGCCATGCAAGGTCACTTTCTCAAAGGCAACATCGCTGGGGTCCCTCTGTTAAAAATCCCAAGAACATGAAGAAAAAACTTAAGCTTGCTTCCCCCCCAGTGTTTCCCCATGTTTTGCCTCTTTTTTTTTTTTTTTTTTACTGGAGGGGAATTCAGCAGTATCCTGTATTCTCTGTACATTGTTTCCAAAATTAATAAATGTGCAAATTGTAAACAAACATTCTGCGCTTGAAAAAGGCAGGCAAAAAGCAGCCCAGCTCCCAAGCCTTCAACTGCAGGCGATCATACACCAGCACTGCACCGCTGAACCAGCGTCTCTGCTATTGTGCCTTGAGGCTGATTGTTACCAATACCTAGATCTCTGTAACGGATAACAATTTTGAACAACAACAACGACAACGTAATAATAATAATAAAAATTGTTCCATTCTCAGCTCTGATAAAGCTATAACGCTTCCCCTCCCCTTTACTCATTTTATTATCAAAACCAAATAATACAGGCAACAGTTTACTAATATCAAGTCATTTGGAAAAAAACCCGAAAACACCCAGGACTTTTTCTCCAACTGCTCTACAATTCTTCATGTTTTACTGAAAATCACACCCTTGCACTGAACTTCAGTAAAGTAGCAGCGAGCAATTCCACTGTGTACATATATTAAGCTCTGGACAGGCTGAACTATTGACCTCCTTTGCCACTAAAATATCAGTTAATCATAAAACTGAGCTGTGAGCTGTTACTCAGAAGCAGCAGCCAATGTAAGAGAGTAACTTCTAACTTACAGTTGATAAAGCAGGCTAAGTGGACAATTTTAGAATACCACATATTTTCTACACCCCCCCAAAGGAAAGGCAATCACAATGCAGAAGATATGCTCAGGACAACATGCCCCAAAGCCAGAGAAAACAGCCTTAAGGATTACTTCTGATAAAAGTGCTACCCTCTGCCTTTGGTTCTGGTTTTAAAACGCTTGAGAAGTGAATAATCTGAGCAATGACACTGTGCAAGAGGTGTAGCCATACTGAAACAAAGCCCAGGTGCCCCGCGAGGATCGAGGGGGAGGAAGCAGCCTCCAGCATCAGCAGCTTGAAATGATTTGTGCCTAACCACACGCAGCCGGGAACACAACGCCATGCTCTGCACCGACTTCGGCTGCGCTTAGAAATGGAAATACAAAGCATACACCTGGCTATTAAGGAGGATAGTGTCGGAAAATAATGTTTTGCTTCACATGTTTTAGTCTTAATTCAGCCATTTAAAAACACTTGGTGGTTTCATATATTTGACTGCTCGGCACTATCTTTAATTGCAGACTGATAAAACAACATGCAAGTTTTCTAGCTAAATGCCGTCACTCAGCTTCAGCCCAGGACAGATTACCTGGGAAATGCCGAGGAGACAAACAGGCTGGTGGAGGACTTTTAACTAGCAGAAGAATTATCTCTTAATTAGAAAACAATTTTGTTTAGCATTAGCGGAAACATTTACTAAATGAGTCACCAGACACTGGTTTTGCTGTGAGGAAGACGGAAAATGATCTAAATACCTAATAATAAAAGTGCATGTCTGATACCGAGATAAATACAACCATCGCTCAAATCGTTCAGAAGTAGGATACATCTCCAGCAAAGCACAGGCCACCTGATCAATAATATGCTATTAAGAAATGTCATGAAGTTATAAATACTGAATGAATTATAGAAAAAATAATTTTCAATCTTCATTTGAAAACAATGCTAATATTTGCTTACATATTAAATAAACAGAAAGCAGAATACTAACCTATTCTTATTGATGTGTCAGTGAGTTTGCTGTTGTTGCTACTTGGAATGTAAACATTAAAACCTCATCAGATCCATGTTCGCTAATGTGTGCTTTTTAATCCATATAGAGAGCAGTCAAACTTCATGCTGAAAATTCATTTATTTCCCTCCACTCCATTGGACTCTGAGCAGATAATCAGTTATAACTTGTTTCAGAGTTTGAACTAATACGTACAAAACTCATGGAAAGACAAAATTGACAAAGAACATCGACAGAAAAATAGAGTATCTGTCTGAAAAATAAGTGATCTTGTCAGACACAAGAATTAGGAATAATTGAAGAATCTCCAGAAGATATTGCTGCAGAGATGTCATCTAACACGGCACAGTAAATCACCTGCCAGTCACTCATACAATGCCAGCAGCAGCAGAGACTGCCGGGTGAGCTCTTCCATTATTAGCTTTACCTTTTCTTATAAATCGCCTTTTCGGAAGAGACTAATTTTTATGTTTATAGTTAGCCTTTTACGAGTGAAATATTTAAAAAAAAAATTTGTATTGACTTGGGCTTGCAGTTATCTTACAGAAGCCTCGGGAGAACACTGTGGAAAAGGAAGGTCTGTCTTCATTTTCCAGGCAGGTGAGGAGGCGGCAGGGTGACCTGCTGCTCAACCCGGTGCCGTCCCTGACTCATCTCTGATGCTGGGCACAATCCTTCAGTCTCCAAAACCCCTTGCTGACTCACCTTTTTCTAATTGAAACTGGTTAATAGTGACATTTATTCACCTTCGTTTTCATGGAATAAGAATCAGTCTTACTGCGAGGTAAACAATTTGAAATTTTATTATTTTTAAAATAATGTTGTCACGGAAGTTCAGATTTTTTTTTCCCAAGTATTTTTTTTTGATCTGCTTCATTTCATACTGGATTAAATTGAGTTGAAAATTTGTCTCCAGCAAGACTAGATTTTGGTGCCTTATATGTGAGTGTTAAGTTAAAAACAAATTAAAAATAAAATAACACTCACAATAAGGTTGTTTCCCCTAACTGGCTTCTAAAAATACATTACATAAATCATGACTTCCTTTCTTCTCCTTTCCCATTAAAAAGCTTTAGTCTGTCACACACTGCGTAAATGAAATTATATTTTTTCAAGCGCTAGGAAAAAGAACCGGAACATTTGGGATTTGTTAGTCTCGGCTCAGTCTCTTTAAAATAGAAGCTGTTTTCAAATTCCTACTTTTTCAGAACAATGCCTAAACCAATTCAGTACAATAAATCAATGATGAGAACTTGAACAGCTGTCCCACTGAGGTCTGTCACCAACTTGTGAAAAAAATATTTAATTTATATTTCCATTTTATATATGCATACATATACATGACACATGGAAATCTGCAACTGCAGCTCTTCTTTCTTACTATTTTAGCGCAGCTTTGAATAGATGGTTATCAGCACTCTCTGCTAAATCTAATATAGTGCAAACTTTAAAATACTTTGTCATGCCCTAAAAATCCTGAAATTAGGAAAAAACCCACACAATTTAATTTTCACTTATTTGCCTCCCAGTCTGATTTTCAAATCTATAATTTTTCTCCTCTGCAACTACGAGACATAGGCGTTATCTTTCTTCTTATGAAAGCTGAGATTAAAATAACTTTAAGTAGCTTTAGAAGGAACAGCATATAAGAGAAGTTGGCAGTGCTTAATCTTCTTGGCGCTGGCCACGCAAGGGCACTCTAAAAAAACCAGAAGCAGACTGCAAGATTCAGCAGCGCATGATTTTGGTGGTGGTAGGTCAAAAATGGAGAAAAGAAAACACTCCATTAATATTTGCTATTGTATTTTAGGAGTTGTCAGAGATTCTGGCAGGCCACGCATATCTGCTTGGAAAAAGAAAAATTACCCAAAAATATACCACATTTTTTGTAAAATTCTATTTCTTAAACAGATTCTTTTTCCATGCAAGTACCTTTATGTGCAAATTTACTTCAAAGTACAAGTGAAAATATGAAGGTGAAAAAACAGGTGGTTTGTTCTTTCTAGAAATGATAAGGTCTCCTTCCTCGCGTGAGAAGTAAAATGTTTTCTTAGCTTGCTAACATCCCGTCTCCTAACCTACCCTCCCAGGGTTAGCAAACTGCAACCTGGACAGTGCCCGGCCAAGCAGGGGACACGGCAAATCCATATTTGCCTAGACACCTGGGGATCCTGTGGGTGCCAAGGGAACCCTTGAGTTCTGCTACAAGTTAATTAGAGCCAACACGCCTGCCAACCAATTAAATCATTAAATAAATAGTTTTGTTTGGTTGCTCATTTTTCCAAAGCAGCACTCACCTGCACATTTGGTCCTGGTGATGAGCGGTGGTCCTGGCTGTCCAGTCCCACCTTCGCCCGGTCTGGTGAGCAGCACCCGAATCTCATATTCGGTGTCGGGGTCCAAGTGCCAGAGCTTGTAAGTTGGTGCATTGACGGCATGGGTTTCGGTCCAGGTCCCAGACGTCATTCGGTACTCCACTTCTTTCAGGATAATGGGTCCGTCCCCAATGATTGAGTTGGCATTCAGCTGAATGAGCAAGTACGTGGGCCCAACGCCCAGTAGCTGCGGGGGTGCTATTGGCCGAGGCGGCTCTGTAGGGGAGACAAAAGGCAGCGATGAAACAAAATCTGGAAAACCCATTAAGAAGAGGGCTCTTTCCACAGAAAGTTGTCAGGTTTTGATCAGCAAAGATTTCAACACTCGAAAGCAAAATGAAACTGATATCAAAGAAGAAGAACTGGGGAGAATTTCAGCTGATGGAAGAGAGTGGTGCGCCACCGGCATCTGTCCAATGCTATTTTTCCCATTTAAAAATCGCAGCTAGGGACCACAAAATCCTCTCTGATTTATATATTGCTGCTACTTAACAGTTTTTCTGAAAAAAAAATATGGGTTCATGCTCATTTATATAATTTACTATAGTAATAACTTGAGATTTTCAGAAACAGAACTGATTTTCTTTTATTGGCAGAAGCCATATATGTTTCTTTCCTTAAAGAAACAGTTGCAATAGTTGATACACTAGCCCTGCACAGAATATTCTTAAAAATGAGTATCACTGCAGTTCATTTGAAACCCACCAGATGCAGTTAGGGTAAAAGATACAGATGCCTATTGCAGGCATTCAGAATACTCCAAACTGAGCAAAGCTGCCAGAAGAATGACAAAATAAAGATATAGGGCAACGACATATAACATTATTTTATTCTTCAGTAACTTACTACTGATTTAGAAACTCAAACAAGAGGACGTACATTAAGACCTTTTGTCTTCCTCTGTTCTCATCAGCTTCCACCTTTCAACACAGCTGCAAAGTGAAAAGGTAACAATGGACCAAGCAGGGAGGTGAAGTCCCCCTTACCCTGCGAAATGTTACGTCGAGAAGTAGCACGTTGCCTCGGCGTGATTTATTTTAAGAAACAAATCACAAGCAACATGTACTTTTCTAACAAAATGAATCCTCTGATAAACACGGAAGGTTCATTTTCATTCCAGATGGCTCACATTTCAACTAATTTGTTTCAGTTAATTAGGCAACAATGCTAAATTCAATGCACACAGGGGTTTCGCACAGCAGCGATGCAGAACTAACAACGCAGCAACTGAGCAGGTAGAGGGATCTCATGGCCAGTACATTAAAAATAACATTTAACCCCAGACCATAACACTTCCCTAGAGGAGGGCCCTTCTCATCATCGCTCCCCCCACCCCTCTGCACAAGAGAAGCTAGGACGCAGAAGCACTGCACATATTCAGCCTCCCGGGAATGACCCCACCAGTGGCACTGGCAGAGCCCGTGGTGGGGAGTGGTGATGGAGAGACTCACAGAGGGCCTCCAGACATCCTTTGACATCCTACTCTCCCTGCAAGGTGAAGTTCAGCTAACGACTCCCTGGTTCTCTACATCCAGCAGTAAAGTTTCCCCTCCAGATACCAGAGCTGGCTCCCAACAGCGTATTTACTAGCTCTGTAAGCAACCAAGTTTCCCATGTTTTGGCACAAAAGGATCTCTTGCAGACTTCTTTCTAAATTAGCTGTATCTCAAGCCACTCAGTTTGTAGACCAGGGAATCTGTGAAGGTGCAGTAGTGGCTGCAAGCGGAGTTCATTTTCTTCTCCTGGAGTGAAAAGGTGAATGCTCCAAGGTGTTCCCGTTTCTGCTTCGGGATTTACAAAACTCTAGAAAGTACCTCAATTAATTATTAACATGTTTTACCCTGTTTTGGCAAGAAATGTGCACATGAACTAATTTAGATCCCTACCTGCATCAAAGCTCAGAAATGCAGCTGGGCTTAATGAGGGCAGTTTATTTGCTGCGGAACTAACACATTAAATGTCAAACTAATGAATTCTAAGGTCAGTGTATCTTACGGCAGAAAACATAAACGTTGATGAGCATGATACACTACCAAGTCCGAGTTATAAACCTCTAAAACATAAAGCTATGTTTAAAAGTATACGCTTTGATTAAGAGCACAATTATCACAAATAAAACCTCACATTAATGAGACTAATATACCATTGCATATTAAATTTTTATGTTAAGAGGTAAAGTGTATTCTTATATTAGCATATGCATTTTGTTTTTAAGCTCTTGAGGACAAGGAGACTTACTTATAAAGTCTCTCCCAGTTCCAATAAATTATGCATGAATTTTAATTAGTTACCAAATGAACAAGCAATTGTTCTGCAGCATTATTAATATTCTTCATAATACAATATACTATCAGAACCAGAGGTGAAGTGCAACCAGAAATCCCAAAAGTACACTAAGTATCAACTGAAGCATGCAATCCCAATATACCAGAATAAACTTTTCTGATGTTACCCAATTAACTTTCTATTAATTATTCTCATTCATTACTCTATAACCAGATGCATCAAATATTCCCCAATTATAATTTCAAATCCCATAATTTCCTTTTATATATACAGCAACCCAAAACTTTTATGGTCTAAAAATTGCCATTGATAACTGAAAGACAGAACAAAGCCATTATTAATGTTTTAGTTGCCATTCCCGTAGCAAATATCACATATATCAACAATACTCCTCTTTCGGTGAGTTTTTAAACACAATTCACATCCTTCAAGGAAATGATGTTGCTGGCTTTTCACTCTAGCAATCTGGGTCCACCTAGTAGTAATGAACCCACTGTTTCGCAGTGTCCTAAGAAGTCAGTCAGTCAAAAAGAAAAAACGCTTCTTGTGCACCCCCAGGGGAGGGGGGGGGGGGGGGGGGGGGGGAGGAGGAAAGAAGGGAAAAAAACCAGAGAGAGAAGCAGCAGAGGGAACCCCAAAGAAAATCACCCTCTCAGAAACTTGGTCTGGTTTACAAAGAATATAAAAACTCAGCTTCAGTCAGACCAAGTGAGAGCTTTAAAGTTCAGAGCTTGGATCAGAGGCAGCGTTGCAGGAAGCTGAGGGTCACCAGTTACCCACCACGGCAGCCTCCGTCCCGCCTGGCCCTGCCGAGGCACTCTGTCTGCAGACGGCCGCTACGGCGAATGCATTTTGGGGCT